AAGCTGGCGGTGATCTGTTTTTGGTAGATCTCACATAGTGGTTATTTCTGAAATCTTATTTATGCTTGTTTTTTTTTCTTCAGTAGGTCAGAAGCTTATCTCCCATAAAACATTAAAGCAAAGTACCGTGAGACTCCGGAAATTATTCGGTACCCTTAGTTTAGATCAAGTAGAAAACATCTTTGGCTGCATCAATAAACCGGAGCTTCACTAAAAATATGGGGACGTAGTCTTTCATCAAGTAAGGAATTTAAGCGATTGAAAAAGGCAGGCTTCTTTTAACTAAAATTTTAAGATAAACATTTTTTTTATTGGCACTCCTCCAACGTTTAGATTGCTTTAAATGGTTGCAGAAGCAACTCACATTTATACAAAAGTTCAACAAACTAGCATTGAAGCGATCTCAAAATTCCAATTATCGTGACAAACAGGTCCCCTTTAAAATAAATTTCAAGGAGAAGAAATCTAACTTATCTGCTTTCATTGACTCAACTGAAAAAAAAAAAAAATCCTTGACAATATTAATTTCTTTTTCCTATACTTTGATTGTCCAATCATAGGCTCAGATCTTCCAACTTGGAACGACCGGCGCATGTGTAGAATACCCATGCAATAATGCCGCTGCATGGAAATTTCCGGGTCATTATCGTGCTGTCGGATTTTCGGGATTGCTCTTGCAAAATGAGACAGAAAATGGTAAGCATTAAGGCACTTCAGGGAAGTAGTAGTACCCTTGAAATTGTTAGTTTTCATTTGTTCCTAGATAAATTACATTTAACTATGGAACAATCGGACCAAAGGAGTCTCACTCGCAGGCTACAGCTCATTTAGTTCGTGGGATTGCAATTCGGGGGAGCATCCGACCGCGTCGGTAGCGTCGTTCCCGTAGGTCTTTAACCGAGAAAGGCAAAAGAAAAAAATATGTAAAACAGGAAATACTGCCCAACCAGTTATTTTTCTTTCCGATTTTATTATTGTTGCCTGGTCACCGTCGCTTGTGTCGGATATGCAAAGTGGAATACCAGATTCATGGTTGTTACATAAATACTAACGGATCCTCACTTGCCTGGAAACTAATGAAGAAGGACGACACCAGGTCGTTAAGAGCTTGATTGCTAAATTCCGTTCCGTGAAAGTGAGTATGGATTAAGGAAAGCGTCATCAAGACAGGCATCTCATGGAACATTGCGGAAAAGGATCGACGAACAGAGGAAAAGAGGAAATTCAACGGCTAGCAGATTGTCAGTCTCGTTCGGCAACAACATACCAGGTGCGATCAAAACGTTCCGAGACTCATATTATAGCGTAAAAAGAAAGGGCAGCACAGTGATGCCCGCGCCTCTGACGAAGGCAGAAACATTCCTGTGTCATAACGGCAAAGGGCGTCGCTCTCTTTGAACATTCGGTGTCGTGCTAGGCGAGTTTGTTCGACCACGTGCACGAGTATAATGGAGATTTCACCATAGACTGCAAAACCAAAGCGAAAGTGAACATCAATTTTGCGTCAAACTCGGCAGATATAAAACAGGTCCTTTGAAATTGTTCAGAAGGCTTGTCAAAAAGTTGTGAGGCGTGCGAGGTGTTTTGAGCGATAATCGCACTTTAAGAATGGAGGTACGTCACTGAAGTCAGAGAGGCCAGCATCGGAGGAGGTCGCCCTACCTCTCTTTGTCTTTCGGATATGTTCTGCCATTCTTGAAGCGCGTATGTCATTTAAGGGTGACTGCAGCCGTTCTGCATGCAAGTAAATACAATTCTTCATTTGGCCTCCAGGACAACGAATATCGGAATTATTTTTTCAATTTCACCACGCAGACATGAGCGAGTACACGTGTATGAAGCGCAAACTTTAGGTAATATTTGAACCTAAAGTCAACTTTAGGGGCGAGATTTGTGACACCAGACAAGTGCAGAAGATTACAGGTTTCCCTGCCACTTCAATGACGTGCGAGTGTCCGTTTTGTTCGGCAGAGACCATTGTGGACAATCAAAGGAGGTCGCTCTTGCCGGAGAATCTGTGTCTTTGAACTGTTGGAAATTATATATTGCGCCGTTTGTTATATATAAAAAAGTAAAATTGACTTCAAGTAAATAAATAAATAGATATTATGCGTGGAAATGGAGGTCGATGAATCAATTAACTAATCGATTAAATGTTGGCAATTCACTAGGTTCAAAGTTTTAATCGAAGCCCAGCCCTAGTCACCGCTGGTGTCAGTGCAGGGGAATATACCTGGCAAGCTCGCAACTGCACGCGCTGCCCACACGAGCGACACGCGCTTGGCGGCCCAGAGATCCTAGTATGACGTCACGACTGGTCGGAGGGTTTTCGCGTTTTCTCGCGTTCAGTCACACCTTCGAGGTAAACGAACGTGATATTCAAATTCACGGGATAGAGATAGTCTAAAACTCAGTTCTAACGTTTTTCTTTTCTTCAGCTTTCCTTTAAACACTTCGCACAATCCACCGCTTTTTGACATAAGCCATGCCAAATAATCTCAACTGTCTCTCTTTTATTATTTGTCGAGTTTGACGCAGAATCGATGTTCGCTCTCGTTCTGATTTGCAATCTGCGGTGAAATCGCCATTGTGCCCGTGCACGCAGCCACACAAACGCGTATAGCGCACCTACAAATGTATACAGGGCGGCGCCCTTTGACGTCAGGAGACACGAAAGTGCCTTTTTTCGGCTTTGGCGCGCTCATCACCGTACTGCCCTCTCTTTTTACGCTACAAAATTAGTCTCGGAACTTTTTGATCACATCTAGTAAACTAAGCAGTAAATTTACGAGACAGGCTCAGTGCTAAACGCTATTTTTTTTAAAATCTAGGTTTGGCTGTTTAGGATTTCTCTTTGAATTTGCCTGATGGTAAACTGAATTAAAAAGAAGCCAAAGAGGTTCTTGAAAAATAAAATAAATAAAACTTAAAGGTGAATGCTAGAGTATTTGTATCCCATGAGTCTGAATCTCACGTTCGTTTTTACCGAAGATGTACACTAAACGCGAGAAAACACGAAAACCCTCCGACCAGTAGTGGCGCCATACGCAGACCTCTCGGCAGCCAAGCGATTGTCGCTCATGTGGACAACGCGCGCAAAAGCAAGATGTATTCCCCCGCACTGACACCTGTCGTGACGTCTTTTTCTGACCTTTCTGAAAATAGCAAGAGTACACGTGCATAGCTTTGATCGGCGCTGAAGATGCGCGAGAGCGGAGATTCCGAAAACTCTGTATATGACTTCAGGTTCCGGGAAGGAGGGGCTTCGACGGCACTTTCAAAGTTACTTTTTTCTGCAGCCTCCGTGCACCAAATTAAAAAAAAAATAGTTTCGTTATTCGTGTTTTTCAAATGAAGACGATTTAGTTGGTTTCTCGGGACCGCATTACTCGTGGTGGCGGACGTTAGAAGGTGCGGGATACTTACTAATTCGTTCGCTAATTGATTAGAAATGATTATTTAACTTATTTATTAGTTAAAAAAGACATGTGGTTGCAATTAGAAACTTGCTGAGCGTCATCGAAATCCACTAAATCAGCGACTTTCAGAAAGAATTTCGGCGCGTCAAAATCGTATTAGCGCGTTAAAGGGGCACTGACACCCCAAAGGTCGTATTTATTTTTATTGTCTAAAACGATGCAAGTTGTAGTCATACCCACGCAAAAAAAACCGCATCGCGAAAAAAAATTTTCCCGCGCGCGCGCGCGCCTTTTTATTTTTGGCGTTTGATTTTCCCGCCTCTCGCCTCCTCGCTTCTTTTGATCGGTGACGTCAAAAATCAGGAAATTTAGAAGCTTTGTAGGCGACATCTCTATAACATTTAATTACGGCAATCTTAAAACATGTTTTTTAACGCAATTGCGAACGCACTACGGCCCTTCTTTTTGAAATACCAAAAATCGGGAGTTCGTTGTGGTGCCGTCTCCTGGATTTGTATCCTCCAACGGAAAACAGGCGACACCGCTCAAAACCGGTCCGCCGCAACGCCGGCGCTAGCCGGCGCTCGCTCCTATCCTCCTCGCTTTGGGTCGCCCTGGCAACAGCAGGGAGTGGTGACAGGAAAGTTGACTCTCAGGTCTCCACAATTTTTGACGTCAAGGCACCGGCGCCGATCGCGCGGGAACTTCGAATTCGGCATTTGGAAATTGTTTTTTTACTTCACGAATACTGAATTCCCAAATCTCAAATTTTGAGGGGAATGTCCCGGCATCGTTTTCAATCGTTTCGGATAATAAAAAAAAATATGATTTTGATGTGTCAGTGCCCCTTTAAAGTTACCACTCGTGGGGCAGGTACAGGCTTTCTTGCCGAAACGTTGCGAAGTACCGAGTTGGTGCCGCCGAGGCATAAAATGCATACAAAGTTCATCTGTGTTAACTCCCTGAGAGGCAAAATACTTACATTAGATGTTTCCGCTGCCTTTGCACTGATAGCGCGTGAAAAGGGCGAATTTGCTTCAGAAGTGCGGTAAGTTGGGCGAGTTGGTATGATGACATGAAGAACAGAACAGCACACACAAAGACAGGGACAGAGAAAAGGAAGATGCAGGACACACAAGCGCTGTTTCGCCAGATTCTTAAGCAAAGTGTTCTATTTGGCCAGAGTTAGCGATTTGACCTCTATATTTCTGACGCCAAATTCAGCCACCGCACATTATTCCACGCAATTTGGTAGTCTTTCGATTAACAACACCTGTCGTGTCTTCTTTGTTTTTGCTTCAGGATGGATAGAAGACGCTAGAGGGTTTTGAGACCGATTGAGAAATAATCTGGTGTTTCTGACCAAAAAGAGAGTTATCTAATCTAAACTGAGGAAAAGGAACCTAAGTAACCACCCAAAGTCACGAATAGTTATTTAATCCTAAATTGCAGCAAAAATACTATGCCTGATCAGAAGTCTCTGTTCGTCTCTATATCTTTTGTCGAAGTTTCCAGTTTCCTAACTCGCCAATTTCAATAGTTGACCTCAAAGAGTCGTCTTCGGGCAGGGGGTCCACTTACCTCCTTCAACTTGGCAGACGAGCAGCAAGCGGTCTCCTTCGTTGTACGGCCCGATGATGCTTTTGCTGGGAAGAATCTCGCCGTTTTGGTCCGTGATAATAGGTTCATTTGGGGGAACTGGAAGAACAACGAAGCCATCATATTCAGTTAAACCAAAATGGCACACCTTTTGTCACATAGCTAAATTATTACCAGTTCCAAGAGCGTTGTTATTTTGTGGTTCTGGTGTACGTAAACAAAATAAAAACTATAGTGCATCACTATCATGAATTTCTCGTGTTTGCTAAAAGCTCTCGGAGGAACATTAAACGCCAAACCAATGTTTTGTGCACACCTACGATTTTGTCTTAGCTGGCATTGCGCAGTCATTTTATTCTATATATTTAGGAAGGAGAATGGTCAGAGGTACAGAAGTGAGGAAATACAAATACTATCGAGACCGGTTATAACGAAGTCGGTTATAACGAAATAGCGGATATGGCGAAGTGATTTTCGATTCCTGTTGACTTCATTATATCTGGTCTCGACAGATGTATTAGGAATTATGGTTGAATAAAAATGCGCGCAATGTTTCCTGCGAGCACGAGCCCTGAAGTTTCTGTGAGCGTTTTCGTTGCGGTAGTTACGCGAAGGTCCTGCTTATACACATATACTATCATATATAATTGACTAGTAGATAGTTCATCGCCGCTTAACATTCTAAATAGGTACTATAACTAACAAAATTATGGGATATATTATAAATAAAACAAAATGGACTTAGTTATTGAATATGATATTTCGACCATGCGTTTTCAGAGCAAGAAAATGGCGAAACTGTGTTCAAAAATGAGCGGTATAAATATTTACATTTGTTTATGGAGCAAGAAAAATGATACCACAATGTTGCCTCTCTTTTTGTTCAGTTTTGTGTTACGATATTGCATGGTATGTAGACGACACTGCATAAAGCAGTTTTATTCCGGAGTCAGGTGAGTATTTGGCAGCAACACTGGGCCCAATAAAATACCGAGTTTTTTTTTTTAGTAAGACGCACGAGTCATAACAGAAGTCCATTAAAAAGCAGGTTTGATGATGTTATATCTGTTTTTAGCTTTCCTTCCAAGTATTCGCTCGCTAGATAGAGCAAACCTCCGGACTTTCTAGAACACTGATGGCGCACCTTGGGCACAGCGTCTCCTCGTTAGGCGATAACTGCCTCAAAATGTGCCGTTTTCCGTAATTACGTCGTTGGGAATAACGTAATGACAGCCCTCGCTTGGAACGCCCAACGGCGAGGCCCGATAAAAGTCGTTTGGGGACAGTGCTGGAAAAGTTCTAAGAAAAATAAGCTCTGCGGAAGAGGACGGTAGTATTGTCGAAAAGGAAGCCATAACTGAGATTTCCTGAGATTAGTTAGGCGCGTTCTATAGGTATTTGTACTCGTCACCCGCGAACTAACGTTATTTTGAAGCAGCACAAACTCCGCCTTACTCGAATAAATTGTTAATGCCAAAAACATTAAGCAACCAGAGTTACGCTGGCCTCTTTTATTAAATAAAAATAAATTCTCTAAGATTATCGCGTTTGCGCTGAACAATGATGATTCGAGTTCCAATACAGGCTGTGATTTTCTCCTTGAAGGTGTACCCTGCCATTTTTTTCATGGTTCCGATTTGCTTGAAAATGTTGTGAACACACCAACGAACATCGCTGAAGTAGCATTTATGTATTAGGTAATTTTGTTTTTCGAATAATAGTCGAGATGTAGGTGAGCTGATTCATGCGCGCTGTTTATTTCCGACTGTTTTTTCGCGAGGTTATTGAATTTACAATTTTGGTCCCCACCGTGTTTTTCAAACTGAAAGTCTCTACTGGCAACAACAGAAACGTGCTCAAAGTGAAAGGCATGGGTTCAACTTTTTAAACTGTATGTTTTCTTTGGTTTTTTTTTAAAACTGATTACAAGTAATTTTATACTCCCAAGTGAATGCTTTCAAAGCTCGCTCCAGTACCCGCGCACCAGCATGGACCAAATGCTTGGCATAATCTTTTTTCTATACTGCTTGCTCGACTGGCAAGCCGGCCTTCCACTGGTAATGAAAAGTGCGGGTATATTTTATTTTTGAGTTTTGCAACCTTTTCATTTGCCGCTTTCACAATAACTGCTCTGAATTTCGCGATAATCATTAGCATATCAAAAATAGCAAACGCCAAGGATTCAGAAAAACGTATCTAAAAAAATCGCCGGACTAACCCGTTAAAACCGAGAGAAGGTTCTGTTGCTCTTTTGCAGTTGTCATTGTGTTACTTTGGTGATTCGGCTCGCTGCCTCAATTTTTTTAGTGACTGAGTAGTTAAAAAACGAATCCCTATTAATTTTTATTTCCATAATTGGTTGACGAGCTATCAGAAGGTCACTCTCGCCAAACTGTTAAGGCTTCGTACTTCTAAAAGAAATATGAGAAATATTTATAACTTCCGTTTAGGGCTGTCATAATAAATAAATTATGCGCCTAGATAAAAGCGCTTGTCCTGTGGTTACTGGGAGCTTAAGAAAACACTGGAAGTGGCGAGTCCCAACATCTAATTATCGCTCCGCAGCTAATGAGATAGCGGTATTAACAAATATAAAAATTCCAAAGAACGAATTCCGAAGCAAGAAGCGTAACAACGATAGGCCGCACCCCGAGTGTTTTAAGCAGTGAGCAACGTTACTAGAACCTCTCAGTTGGGAAACTACCATAGAGCCCACTCTGAAAGAGTGGCACCGATCTGTACTCGAGAACCGAGCTAATGGCGATCGCAACGCCGCCATTTTCCCCGCAGCGGCCACTCGGGGAACTGCACGCCAGCTTGTATTGGTTCGAGAGTATCGCACTCAATAGCGTCCGCAGTGACTGTTCTGTTTTGGCTTTAATGGGCCATTTTGGCGGCAAAACATATGCGTTTGAAGGGGCTTCAGGGATGCCACCCTCCGTCTCTCAAGCGGACGCGCCGCGAATTACTTCCAAAATTAGGACTCGCCCAGGTTGGGACGCGCTACCTGAAATCACCGGTAATACATCGTCGTATAGAAACAATATTAATTGTGCCGCAAAACCTCGTAAACTAAATATTTTAGAAAACATCACGCACGCGCCTGATTTTGTACTAATCTCCAATAAAAGTTCTTACAAAAAAGTGTTTTTTCTTTTTGTTTCGTCGCAAAAACATGCTTTCTGAAAGCTCAAGGTGACCACAGTGAAGAAAAAAGATTAAGGGTGGCGCTGTTCTCGTATTTAGCTCGGTCTCGGTGAACGCCGGCGGCCCTGGTTTTAACGGTGAGTTTCCCAACTGAGAGTTCTAGTAACGTTGGCGGTGATTGACTATGCGGAGCCCAAGTTCGCCTGCTTGTTTTGCAGGGGGTTGTGGTGACGCCAGAACGGCGATCTTTGATTGGCTCTGACTGAAGAATACTGGGTAGGCCTCAAGTCAGCTTTGCTTCAAGTTTTACGCCCCCTATCCTTCAACCGGAGCCGATCAAAGCTCGGCGTCTTTCTGACGTCACCCATGCAAAAGAAGCAGACAAACTTGAGCTCCGCATTGTTGTTACTGACTATGAATTCACATTTAACGATAAAAAGTGGGCACCTTAGTTTTCCCTTCGAACATGACTTTTCAAAAAGAACTACGCAAGCCCAGATCATGGCGTCTAATGTTTGATTTGAGTCTCAACCTTCGATGGTTGTCCGCGCTTGAAGCTTACCTACAATTGTGTTGCCCAACGCCTTCGCCACGAGCGAAGCACGATGTTTTAATTTAGGGAACCTACTCGGCCAATAGCGATTAAGGCTAAGTACACGAGAACACGTTATACCCCGCTTTTGAACGACGTAAAGTTGTTTTAAGAATGCTTACCTGTGCATCTAGTTGCGCATGCTTCCCAATAGTGCATATATTGATTATGGTATCTTTCGTAACGCGGGAGCAGACTGAAGCACTTTATTTTTCTTACTCTGCCTGTCTCATCTTAATGATATATAATATTTTGCCATACTTCGTTGTTACTCAAGCTATCGTGTTATATTTCTTAATCGACACTGACTCGTTTCAAATTACGTACCTGTTAATATTGTTTCTTCAAGGGGGGAGGGGGGGGGGGGGTAGGGGGATACGTGGGTTTAAGCTGCTGGCCACGCAGTTCAATTAAAAATTATGCGACGCAACGCAAATATATATAAAAAAGTTGGCGCGGCAAGCATTTGTGTTAGCAAATATTTCGTAGAAAACATGGTTGCGAAATGCACTTTGCTAACCATTCAGCTAATTTTTCATATCATCTACTTTATTTCGAACGGCTGGAGTTCAACTGTTTGGCTCTTGGAGATGTGAATATTTTTTGCAGGTGTCCTCAAGAGTGAGGCAGAGGGAAAATGAGCAATATCGTATTACAACCACAGGAGTGGGAGGTCGAAATACTGAAGTTCTATCGCGCAATTATGGAATGTAATAAACAACCAACTTTAATTAAACACAGCGCTTATAATGTATTATTTCCCTCTTTTAAGTTCGCTGGTGTCACTCCTGGTGTAGAGTGTTGATCTTTCCATGCTAGCTTAATTTGCGGACTATAGCAGATCCTATACGTTAAAAACATTGCAGTGATAAGCTTTTAAAAAATGACGCCGTACGTTTTAGGAAACGTTAATATTGAGAATTTTCATGACATGGCTCCTACTCCTTAAATATGTTACGCATATTTTAATTACGTTTGTTGCATACGTACCCGTACTTTTGTTGCACACAAGTTCGTTTGGTCGTAGCTCGTCTTAATAAAAACATTCTCTCTTAATAATAAGAGAGAATGTGTGATTCCACACAGCAATCAGCTAAAGTGTTTCCTAACTGTGGAACCACGCAGAAAGTATTTTATGGCAAGCAATGTTTACATGGAACTTTTTTCTCCTCAATATTAGCTTTTAGTTTTGAAATATACGACGATAATCTGGATAATTCACCTTAACTGCAATCAAATGAAGACTTCTTGAATTCGAAGCAGGTCAACCTCTCTGCAGTAATTTGAAAAGTAAAATATTTAAAAAGTCGATGATATAACTCCACAAATCGTTGCAAGCTCTCAACGACTGAGGCAATACGCTAGTCAACTTTTGAGTTATAGTCTAGAAGCACATTGATATTTGATGCTCATTATTCAGTACTGCTTCATTCCATGGGTAAAAAATGTAAATCAATTCGGGCACAAAACAGCGTCGAAGGTTGGTCCCTTCCAGTGCAGCCTTCTTATGCATGCAATGTTGCGCAAGGGGACTTGTTAAGGACTACACACTCTAAATGCAAATATGAAAACCACTTTAAAATTTCGTGGTTTCGTATTTCTTAATGTTCAAACGTATATTAAAAACATCCTTCAGTATATATTTTTTTATTTTATGAAGTCCCATATTTTAATGACAATGTAGCCGCATGTTTCAAACGGCCAGAGTAAAACAAGCAACTATGTCAATGTTTTTAAGTAATTGGACCGGAGTCCTAGGACACTTTGGGAATAGTATAAAAAGAAGCAATAGCAGAACGCGACGAAAAACAGAACGTCAAGAGAATAATATGCATAATACACACTCTCATCACATTTCTTCACATGGCTTTATGAGCTAAAAATATGTCTTATACTAATCAGGGGTCATCCTGAAGGTCAGGGAAGTTTTGCGGCTTAATAAAATTCAGCCCCTCTTTATTGTGGAATCTTTACTGCTCTCGATACAGGCAGGAAATAGTAGGGTTAATATCAGCAAACCGACTCTTTTTTCTTATTCGAAGCAGGGCTGAGGCAGAAACATACAAATGCCTGCCATGGCAGCGGCATGTTCCGTAATTCCATCAAATGTAATGCACAACAGCCTCAAAAAAATGCTGCGCCATTTCCGGCCACTCGGTAATCTGTCAGTCGTCGAACTGGCTAGACTAGCGACCTCGGTCGGGATAGGGACCAAGGATAACAACACTTTTACTGTTTAGAAACACCAGGCTTCACCCAGACTTGTGCCTGTCTTAAACACTCTACTCAAGATACTGTATTTCAAATACCTTTTTAAGTATCTTGGTATCTTCCAAATACTTTTGATCGAGAGTATTTGATACGCTATTTTAATTACATTTCTGAGAATCTTGTAGTCATTATGTCAGATACATTTTTGACATTCCGCCATTTTCTGAGTTTTTTGGTAAGAAATGGCGTGGGCGTGGCACCAGGGAACGTGAACATTTTTTCGGACAACGAAATCCTGTTGCTAGTTCTGATTAGCTACGGTGACTTTGATTGAGCTCGTGAAAATATATCTTTTTTGCCGATTGTGACTCATATTTCAGCCCAAAGTTCGCACAATTAAGGTTTTTCCCTCGCCTTCCCAAAGGCGCCTTTTGTACCAGAGATTTCCCCCAAAACTTTTCAAACAAAAGGGGTGGTTTTATGACAGTAAAGATTGGCACAGTGGGGCCGGGAAGCGACCTACGATAACAATGCAGACTTGAGTGCCAAGAAAATAACAAATAAAAGAAAATGAGAAGTGGACACACACATACAAAAAAAGACAGACATTTCTGTTTTGTGTGTTGTATATTTGACCTCGCTATGGCAATATCTAAAATGGACGCTCGATCTCAATACAGTGTAGCCGTGCCATGATATATGGATTAAAACATTTGTAGTGGGCGCTACGGGGCAGAAAGGGGCAGTCCACCTGCAATGCGGACACGTGGGTCGGCGCTATCGCAGCCTGCTTTGCGTGCAAAGCCGGTGGAGGGGGGACGAATCAACCTCACTGGCACTTTCGTTTATCCATGGTTTCCTCGGCGTGAGACTGCATCTTGAATGGTTTTCACATGCTAAACAGTCCCCGCGGTTCGAGTAAATCCAAAACAGAATATATTCTCGCTGCTCAACACAGCACGCCTACGGCCAGTAAGATAAAACTACGAACTGAAAAGCAGGGTCTATACTATAGTTTAGTAGCTCTCAAGTTTGCAAAGCGCCTCTAGCAAGCAGTACTAAATATTTGTCGGTCGAGTTTCGGTTGCGCGTCATTACGATTTTTTGACATTACTCGCGGACGCTAATCTGGGTGAATTTTGTTGGTAGATGTAAATTTGTGAAAGAACACAACAAGACGGAAAAGCTTCAAGAAAAGAATTCTCATCGTTTTGAGGACACAGAATAGTGTGAGCTGCATTTTCCGTTTGTCTTAACTTCTATTGATTCTTTGAAACGCTTTGTTTCTTCGCGTAAGCTAACGTTGACACACGCTTGTAAACGACCGTGGCTCGTGCATAATCGAACGCTGCAGTTCCGATTTATGCTCGATGCAAGCCTTACATGGTCGCGTCTTACAAATCCGCCCGCGCCCCTTTTCCGAGAGAAAGATGCCTAAAGACAATTTCAGTATTTGCCTTCGGCGCGCTGCCACCTTTGCCTGCTTGCCTGTGGAACGCACACTGAGCGTGCACAACAGTCCTGCTTAATATCAGGCGAAGCGCATGCGATCATAGGCCGTGTCTCGGCATTTTTTGTTCGGACGATAAGCGATAGAATGCTGTATTGGCTGTTGCGATCGAGGTCAATAGAAAATTCCGTGACTACGCGGCATGCTAGAGGCTTATTCCAGCGGGTACTCACGGATGACTTTAAGGAGGACTTCGTAGTTGCGGGTGCGCGCTTTCTTAAAGTCCACGCGGCAGCGGTAGAGGCCCTCGTCCTCTTCGAGCACCGGGTACAGCTCGAGCAGCGAAGGCTGTCCGGCGTCGACCCTGAGGTAGGCCCGGTGTCCGAGCCAGTCGGCCGGGGCGTGGTGGGCGAGCGCCAGGCGGCTCTTGCGGGCGTCGCACGAGTAGATGGGCGTCGTCGAGTCGTCCTTGTACCACAGCACCAGGGACACCTCGTCGTCCGTCGTGTTGGGGGTCATGTCGCACGGGAGACCGGCCTTCTCGCCCAGCACGCCGACAACGTGCACGCGGGGCTCCTCTGCGATGAACAGGGATTAAGGTCAGAAAAGGCACTCGAGTGCGCAATCGGCCCTTTATAGTGCAACACTGTACGATCAGTACTATAGTCAATGACACCTTAAAGGGACCATGAAGGCAGTTTCTAAGTTTTATTCGACGATTGAAATGGATGTCAGGCACGTCTCAGATACTGTTGACCAAGTTCTACCCCGAACAGAAGTTTGGGTGCCGCACCAATCGAGCAAACAGGCGCGGTAATAATAGCGCCGGGAACGATGCCTGAGACCCCACCGAGGCGGCGGCAGAAAGGTGAACTAAAGTGCACCGTCGAAGCGTGACGACAACGGGCTCCTCGTCTGGCGATTGGTTCAAACGATAGACGCGCTCTTGGTTTCGATTTCGGTGGTGAGATATGATGAAAAAAGTTTATTTGAACGTTGGATAATATTTTGAAGTTGTAGTTGGCAATTAATAGGTTTCATACGGTGTATAAAAGCATGATCTGAAGCGATCCCTCCGTTTGTTACTGGTTGAACGCATCCCGCACTGCTACCTCTGGCGCGTAACAAGCATCGAGCAACCATGGACAAAAAAAAAAAAAAAAAACGAGCGCCGGGGGCGGCGGATTTTTGGTTTTGGTTTCGTGCGTTGTCTCGTGTTCGCTTTGCGAACTGGTGTCTCACCAATCATGCCGCGTTTATGTGCAGTAGTAGGTTGCGCGATAGGTCGGCTAAAGACGTGTGGTCGATCGGGCGACGTTAGTTTGCATAAACTGCCGACCGATGCAGCAATGCGCAGCATTGCTGCATCGGTCGCCAATCCAGAGTTCTGCGTCCTTAGCAGCATCTCCCGTTCAGTCGGCGTGAGGTCGCTGAACGGGAGCTCGAACTCGTTTGCGAGCGCGGCGTTGTCGTCCATTTCTTCCAGGTTTTCTTCACAGACCGCCGTGCTTTAGAGCGAACCACGGGAACCACACTGAGTGTGCACTAAATCCTACCGATGCCGACAGTGCTCCCTGACGTCACTTCTCTTTCCAGAGGCGAAAAAGGGAAGAAATTTGAATGTTTGTTTCGGTTTTGCAAATTTATTTGCAGCAACAGAAATAAGAGTCACAACGTTCTAGAAAAAATTGTGTGGCATGCCAGGACCCAAACGCTTCCTAAAACACCTTCTTTTTAAAAAAAAATTAAATTGCCTTCATGGTCCCCTAAACAAACTCAGAGCGTGGATTCTCATGTTCACGCTCCTGGCTTTGTCGCTCTTTCTTCGACGTTCTTATGGGCGAATACCACAGGCTCATTGGCAACGGGTTAAAAATAAGGTGCGCCCCCCCCCCCCCCCCCCCCCCCTTCCGGAGATCCAACCGCCACTATAATACACACATGCGTTTTGTCTCCTTGAGGTTAAGGCTCGTTCACACACTTGCGACTCCTTAGAACCGAGCGCCTTAAAACCTATTAAAATCTCTTTCGACGGAGAAAACACTGACATGGTGGCGCCATCTATGCGGTGACCCTGGAGCTGCATTTCACTAGAGCGAAGGTTTGGCGGTATGTGCGAGGTCAAATGTACGTACTACTTATCAGAAATGCTCATTCGCCAACACTGGCAAACATTTTTCAGGCCAAGCAAAGAAGAATGATGGACGAAAAAAGCTTAAAATATACGGGACCACCCAATGTTCTACTGCTACCCGATAGGTGGTGCCAGTGTGTCCTCTCGTCGTAAGAGATTTTAAGAGGTTTCAAGGCACTAGGTTTTAAGAAGTCGCAAATGTGTGAACGGGAAGGACCCGTTCACACACTTCGTCATCCTGTGTACCGCGTAAGCGCACGGGGCATCGCCGTACCCGGGACGGTGAAACAAACTCGGACGGGGTGAAATCCGAGCGGTCTTGGTATTGCGAAGGCTCGTCTGCACCTTCAAAATGTAAGGAACGGTATTAGAAGCAGTCTCTCTTTGAATTCAGCACCTTTACTAACCTACGACGAAGTAGGCCCTGCAAAGAGTGGAATTTACGGTTGGTTGCCGAGGCGTTCCCTCAGTGTTCGGTCACCCAAGGGCTTGAATCCCTTTCGCACGCTTTAAATGTATTGCCAAAACTGATATTATTATTTTTTTTTTACTTTTAAACGTTGCAAGACGTGAATGTATTGCGCACGACTATAGAACGAAAAGCTTTATCCAGTTATTTTTTAATTGAGTACCGGGTACGGCAGGATTACGTTACGCAACTTCGCGTGCACAGTTACCGTATTTTAGTTAAAAGCAGAATGTCCCGCCGTCACGTTGACGACCTGCCCTCCTGACACTGGGGATTCGCTTAATAGGCTTTTTAAACGGGGGCTTTTAAGAGCGGGTCAAAAAGGGTGGTGTGTTTGACATCAGGTGCTTTCGTGCACCACCCGCAGAAGGCTGCTGGAACTCTATAAAGTATTTCATTTGAACCATTTTTGCTGCCATTTGTTGAACCTACAGCTGCACAGTGGTGAAGCCAAGCCGCAAGAATAGCGGAGGGAGTCAAGCCGAACTAGCACTGTCTGAGCGACTTAGCGAACGAGAAAGCCCCCCCCCCCCCCCCCAAAATGGCGCCTTTCCCAGCACTCCCCTCTCTCAGAGTTGGGGCATGCGCCCAGCGATCTCTGAGAAAGGCCGATTGGCGAGGGGGGACGTCGCCGGCGCGTTTGCTAGGTGTTACGTGGGCCTGTGGCGCCATCCTGTGGCGACGTTGCGAACGCTGAATATGTGTTTTCTAACCAATCCAAGCCCAGCGCATGTACCAGGGCAGTGACGCTGACGCATTAAAAAATGTGAGAGAGACAAAGTAAGTACGATCGAAAGACACACACAAGGGCATTTCTGAATCTGTCCGCCGTTCATTGGTCGTTAGCTATGTCTCGTGTTTCAAATCTTCTTTTGCCACTACCCGGTTTGATTTCTCGACCATATGAATCTAAGGCAGGCCTCATGATACGCTTGAAGGGCACACAAGATTATCACCCTAGCTTGACACTTGCAGCAGTTCCTGGAAAATGTATCTGAAAAATGTCTTGGCCTCTGGCCCAGACAAATTTCGTTGGTACGTAACACATCACGGAAGGAGTTGGAGTGCAAGTATTCAAAGCACGACCCGTCTTCGCCCTGATGCTTAAACAAACACCCTGACTTGGCCACACTTTGCACTCATTATGTGAAGTAAAAGCGACCAAAAGACTCTGCCCTCTTTAGCCACTTAAAATTTGAAGCACACTCAAGCCCGCCATCCAAAAATAGAAGAAATTGAGCGACGCTGAGCTTGAGAAAGGATGAAAAGAAAAAGCTAAAAGTCAGGAAGCAGGTTCACGGGAAGGATGGAAGGGGAAATGAAGGCTTCGTATGAGTCACGTCGGAGACAGGCGTTAATTGGTCACTCGTGCGAGGGGCGGATTTATCCTAGCTCGGATCTTGTTTGCCTCCATCGACCGCACAAGAACGGTATTCAAGAAACAGTGCACGCTCACCGGAAGCGGTCCGCGTGACTTGCGCTCCCCCGAGCAACCTTCGTCGCGCCACAGATGCGACGCCGACTACGCCGACCATTGGAGGGCAACGTGGAGCGTTGGAAAAGCGTGCACTAGAGCGCTGACCAACTCGTATTTCATCCTGTCTCGTTCGATGAATAAAGAAGAAAGAAAATAACGATAGTTAGTTCGGAAAGTTAGAGATTGCGACGAACATCTCGCACTGCCGGAAGAGTTGATTGGACTCATGTAGTATGGAAGCAGCGATGACGTTTGCGGCGCGTTCTCAGCGACGTCCCGTATGTCCCCAGGTCTAAACATGTCGCTATAACGTTCGCAGCGGTCCATCTGAGATGCGAGTCAACGTCCATGCTTCGTTTCTTCTTAGGATGAACTGTACGAGGACTCTACTAGACATCGCAGCCAATTCAATGCTGCGTGGGTGTCACGTGAACTTCGAGAAGGGCGCAGCGACATACAGCGTGCGCAGTCATGTGGTACAGCGCTGCATTGCCTGGGACGGCTCGCAGTCTTCCTTTGGGGTCTATGGTAAGGTGCAACGGGGTATAGGAAGGAACGGGCGGCCTCGGAAAGTCCGCTCACGTCGTGCTGTTGAATTAACCGCGCCTTTGAGTAAGGGCGACGGACGGGGCCGATCGTCGCAGCGCCGCGGCACGTGAACTAACACAATGGGGCGTAGACGCTCGCTGCCTCCAGCGCAGCCGTGTGTACCGGTGTTCTATGTGCGCCGTGTTGCTCTTTGAGCATGTTGTTTGATAGGAAGCGACGGGCGGGTGACGATCGCGTATCCGGTGCCATACGAGTGTCCACGGAACGACGGGGAACCCGGTCGTTGGAGCAGTGGACAGCGGACCCGTGTATGTTGTCCATCGGTCGAGAGACGAGCGCGTCCGGCGCTGCATGCTGATGAAGCGCAGCAGCGCGTGGATTTTATTTTGTTCTGTTTTGTCGTTATATTCTTCAGTGGGTTGGCAAAAGTTGTGTCTATATGGGGATCTCCAGAAACATGTAGAAGGCGCAACTTTCTTACATCTTCTTTTTTTTTTTTAGCTGGCGTTGAGTTGTGTAAAGAGAGGGGTTTGCGACAGGGGTAGCGTCCTTCCTATTTGATCGTTCAGGCTGCGAAAGTGTAACATCGTACCGTTCTGGTGCGTATTACGCAGACTAAAAATAATAAAGAAAATGTGTTTTTTTCTCCTCGCTGCTTGGTTATCAAGTTGTTATTTTTTTATTTTTATTTGTGTTTGTCGTAGTTGACGTCACTGCTTGGAGGCCTTATTTTGCACTCACTAGCTTTGGCTTCAATTGCTTTTTTCGCGTTGTCTTTGTTTTTTGTTCCTGACTAAGATACAACGATTTAGTGAAACTCTCCAAGGTTGACAAGATTTACGTAAGAACAAATTGACTTCCGCCTAAAATGAAACGCAACTCGCGCCAAAGAAACCACCTGTTCCGGAAATTGTTTATCAGCTTTTTTTACCGGCCACAAGGTGCCTAG